TTTTTAAATGGAACAAAATAATGTTCCTAAAAGAAACAAATGGATTTAGGAGACTTATACTACATAATTAGTTGACTGTTATTCGACAAAGTTTTCCTAACATGAGGGGGAGAAATTGAGTAGCTGGAAAAGAGAATGCATGGAATGCATTATTACTATTAAATATAGATCCTCAAATATATTAGTATGGACCAGAAGTTCATCAAAATTGCATTCATGAAATATTACAAAATATTTTACTGACTTGAATGAAAATTTTTAAATCTCTTATTCCAGCTAAAAATGCTCCAATTATTTTGAATATTAAGACATGCCAGAAGCATGAGAGGTTAATCGGTTCCAATATAAATATCTTGAATAAAGAGGAGCATACAACTTAGAAGTTGTATTGAGGAGGCATCTACTCTAGAAGAGTGTCAAGACATAACTAATTATAAAACCCCAGAAGAGGTTCAGGTACCTGAAAAGGAAGAAAGAGATCTCAACAAGTTATGTCACAAAAGAAAAAATGGAACCGAAAAGGTAAAGTTGTCGACAATGATTTTCATAAGAATATCACATGATAAAAAGAGGATCTTACGTATAGATCTATCATACAAAGTATATATAAATTTGGCCAAGAAGAAAAGAAAAAGGGAAAAGATGTGATGAAAATGTTATTTCGATATGTGAAAATGGGTCTGTAGTCCCAACACATATAAAGTTTCTATAGAATATATAGACATTTATGTGAAAATATAGATTTTCACAAATGATTATGATGAGACATATTACTTTGTGGTGGATATCATTTTGCATATTTGAATAGTCTGGCATTATGAAATGTGCCTGCTAGATGACCCCTGGATGAGGATCATTAAATAGTAAAATTTACATGATAATCCTTGAAGGATTCAAAAATATGCCAGGAGCATATATAAGAAAATCTTTCAGTATATAAAATATTATGAAGATTAAAATAATTTCAGTATGTATGATCCATTTTATAGTTTTGAATCAAAATATATGAAATTCCCTAAAGAATTTCACTTGCCAGAAGCATACAATTTAAGTTCTTGAGCACAATGATTAAGTTAAATAAGTTGCCAGAAGCAATCAGGGCGTATATGGTATAACTGACTAAATAAATATCAGTTGAAGAAATGATATAAAAATGATCCAATTTGCTCATGTATTTTTATGAAAAGATCTGAAAGTGAGTTTGCTATAATTGTTGATGATATTATTAGAACTCCTGAAGAGCTTACAAAAGCTATGGATCGCTTAAAGAAAGAATTTGAAATGAAGGGCTTGAAAAGAACAAAGTTTTGCTTCGGATTGGAAATTGAATACTTGAGAAATGAAGATTTTTGTGTATCAAATAATTGATACAAGAAAAGCCTTAAAGTATTTTTATATGGATAAATCATATCCATTATATACTTTGATAGTTGTGAGATTTGTGGAGGTGAATAAAGAACTTTATATATTTTGAGAAGGTGATGAAGAACTACTTGGTCCAGAAGTACCAAATCATAGATCCAGAAGTACTATATCATATCTTATCAGTCATGCATGACATCACATATCATTTGCTGTTAACTTACTGGTAAGATATAGTTCTTCACCAAAGACACTGGAATAGAATTCTAGATTCTTTTCTGATTCACATGCTGGTAATTCCAAATGGAGTATTTATCTCACAATATCCAAAAGATGGTGAAAGATATATCCAGCAAATTCATTCAAATAAAAACCTAGCAGATTTGTTCACCAAGTCACTTTCTATTACAATATTTGAAAAGTGTGTTCATGATATCAGATGTCATAGACTCAAGGATATCAATTGATGTTATCGAGAGGGGGAGCTAATACACGCTGTACTCTTTTTCCCTTGTCTATGGTTTTTTCCCACTGGGTTTTCCTAGCAAGGTTTTTAATGAGGCAGCATCGAATAGTGTATCAATGAATGTGTACTCTTTTTCTTCTACTAGGTTTTTATCCCACAGGGTTTTTCCTAGTTGAAGTTTTTTAATGAGGCACATATCTTAGATAATGGACATCCAAGGGGGAGTGTTATGAATATTATAATATGTGGATGTCCATGTCCTCTTCTTCCTCTTCCTCTTCCTCTCAACTTCATCATCAACTCCCACTACTTCCACTAGGCATTAATCTTTCACTACTCCATTACCTTTCCACTATGCCTTTAATCTTGTAACTCCCCCCACTCATATTCATATGGTTTATTGTCTACTATCTATCATTTAAGTACAAATGTAACTTATGTGTGAGACTATGCCTATAAATAAGGCATGTCATTGTATTGTGAAGCAAGTAAAGGAATACAATATCATTCTCTCATTTTCTTGTCTACTTCTCTTCTCCAATCTACTTTCATTATTGGTTAATTTCATAACAGTGTCTTGTATCAACTACTATTCCGTCTTTTATTATAAAATCTTTTTAATTAAATTGTACGGTTTAAAAAAATAATTAAAATTAGTTAAAAGCAATTAATATGTAGTAAATGTAATTTTTTTTCAAATATACCTCTATATATAAATAGGTAGATATGAGAGAATAATAGTGAGATAAATGAAGAAAGAGAATGTATTAAATGTATTAAATTAGGGGTAAAATAGGTAATAATATATTAAATATTCATACAAACTCAAAAGGGATTTTATAAAAAGAGACAAACCTATTCAAAAAATTGGATCTTATAATAAGGGATGGAGGGAGTAGAGATTTAGTATATTAGAATTAAAAAAAATATATAAAAACCTGAAAATATTATCAATAAATGATATTAATTCTGGAATCCAGACAAAGCACCCTAAAACATTGTTACAAGGCGAGCGGGGCTCCTCACGTGTCGTGTGTGTGTGTGTGTTTTTGGAAAAAGTGTAGCCTCGTTCAGTATAGCCTGTTTGGGAGGGCTTAATTTGGGTTAGAAGTTACTCCTCCGGTCCTTAATATAAGACTCATTTAACTAATTTGATTAGATTAAGGAAGTTAGGTAAGTTGGTTAATTATAAAAAATATGACATGTTTTTCCTAAAACACCATAATTATCTTTCTTAATACCTATCTTCTTCTTCCACTTGATTATGGTTAAGAGAATATCCATAGGGGTAATTTAGAGAAAATTGATAAATATTATAAATGGGTCTTATATTTAGGACCAAAACCAACTCAACAATTGGGTCCTATATTAAGGACCGGAGGAGTACTTATTTTGGGCAGAAACCCGATTGAGAAATAGAGTGCAGTTTGGGAGGGCTTAAGTCCAATTGAGCTTATCTTTTATAAGCTTATTGTACCGTGCGTTTCTAAGAAGCTGGAAGAAGGAGTTCATTTTTGAAGAAAGGAGTCTATTTTTGAAGAGTTTATTAGCTTAAGGTCCAAATTAATACTCTGTTCCCAGCTCCTACAACCCGAAATTGTCGTGTTGATGGCAACGAAGTATCATTATCCAATTTTTCTTTTTGTCTCTGTTTCTTAAAATTTCAAAAGAAGCGCAGCAACATCCAAATATTTAATATACAATAAAAAAGAAATAAAAAATTCACTCATTAAAATTAATTCACTCGTTAATCTCACTTCTTCACATTAAATTAATTTAAATTTATTGTATTATGTAAAATTATTTGTTTAATCATATTTCATTATTTATTAAAACTCATACCCATTTTGATAATTTTACAAACAAACTTATTTTTACTCAATCATAATCTAAATAATTTTTTATCAATCTCACTTTTACAAACTAACCCTTTTAAATTTCAATTCAAACACAATTCACCTTACCCAATTTAATTTTTACCCAATCTTACTTCTCCAAAAGTCATATTGGAAATAAACTATTTTTTCCACCACCAATCCAAACAGACCCTAAAAGGGGGAAGAGATATATATTTATATATATATAATATTTCATTGGTCTTCCATTATAAAAAGTTAATAAAAGAATATAAAATGTGAGGCATTTCTTCGTGCTTAATTTCATTTTTTTTTCTGTCTATTGATGTGTGTTTTTTTTAAGCAACGTTTATGAACTGTCTATATAATCCACAAAGAGAGTATAGTAACTGAATGATCTCATCAGGGAACTGTGGAATAGCTTGTTCAGCAATAGAAGGAATTAATCAGCAAAACTGTGTCTCTATGGAGACGTGGTTGCTTGATATTCCCTCGCCTCCACAAATGCTAGTGGTTATTTCTTTGACTTTTGTAACCGGTGCACCTTTCTCGTTTGTATCTAAAATGAAGCACCATGTTGATAAACCATGTGCCCTTATTTGAGCCAAGAGAACAAGACTGGAGCTAGAAGGGAAAAACGCTCAAAACAAATCTTACATCTAGGGTTGAATATACTTCTTTAGTCCTTAATATGAGACCTACTTTGTAGTGATGGTTCCTATATTATTAAGGGGCGGAAGGATTAGTATATTTTGTTTTGCCTTAGAAGTGGTAGTTTCTTCAATTCATGCCACTTATGTCGGCATTTTACTCTCATAAATTACATAGTTTTTTTTTTTCTTTTAATGTTCGCAGATTGCCTATATAACTGACAAGAAATTGATGATCAATCATAGTAAAACGATCATGTTCGACCTATAGTTCATGTGGTTGAATTCGATTATGAAATGATCTTTGAGACAAGTAGGATTTGACTTAGGTTGATTAATGCCTACATTAATCTGTTGTGGCTATTATTATGTACTTTGTAATTCGGGAAAATCAACAGTATAAGTATCAATACAGATAATTAAACATCCCCATCTAATTTGGAGCATAGAAGCGGATATGGACCACGAACAACACAAAAACATCATTAATTATTAAAGCAAATGATTTGTGTGAGAGACACTAAATATTCGCTCAACATTAAGACCATGTATTAGAAACAACTCAGAGACATCAAAAGCTATTAAAGCAAAAGCAAAGTTATCAGCCCAGACATTTGGTTTGAACGGTGTGGAGAACAAGTTCATGACAATAAAAGTGCTCATTACTTAAGTTACTGGGGGAAAAACACGGGAGAGTGGAGACATTACATATTCCTGGACGTACTTTTTAGGATTATTTGGGTCAGGAATCCAATGAATCTCACTCAAGTTTGGCGTCTCAACAAAGGCCATAGTAAACTCTCCTACCTTCTCTACTTTCCCTCTCTTCCCTGCCCTTAGTACGAGATTATTACGGTGGTAAGAGAAGATACCATTGGCCAAATGGATGATGTCGCCAGGCTCGAATACGTCACACTCATCTCCCCAGAACTGATAGTGAACTGCTGCAGTCTCATCAGCTACAAGTGCCAAGCATGTCTTATTTTGCCCTTCTAATGTTGTCCTTCCTTTCTCCAGAAGTATAAATTTTGTATCTATGTTGTTCTGTGCTGCGGGCACTATGTCTTTGAGAAGCAGCATCAATGCTTTCTTGCAGCAAGAACTTGCAGGAAAATAACTTCATTAGCGGACATGAAAAAGAGAGATTGATTATGTTTCAGAGTATATAGCCTTAGCATGGGCACCTCAGCAATGGAAAACCAGGATAACTTATAATTGCATACAAACAGTACATCGACACAATCAAATGTTAAGTATTGTAACAGTTGAGTAGCAGTTGATAAACCCAACATTGTGTTTGGATGAAATGAGATGGAAATTAAAAAACATTAACTCAATCTACACAACTTATAAAATTACTTGTTACAATAGTTCATTAACCATAATTCTAACAACGGAACTTTTCTTCAATTATCATGAAACAATAATTGAAGCCAGACCAAAGATCGACCGCAGGAAAACTAAATCTATTTGTCTATAAAAATCTTGTTACATTCATATCTGCAAACTTAAAACCTCACTTCAAGACTTCACTGATTTAATTGGCCACTATTTCAATGTTCTATGTCAAATTTACATAATGTGATTAACAGGGAATCAATTTATGCTCGAGAGATTTATACTCCAATACATATAGTGCATCTGTGTTTGACAAGTGAGAGAGACATTGATGCTCGATGTATGCCTGCCTAACTCCAGGCCATTAAAAATCCCCCATAATTTAAAAGCTCGAACCAGCTATGCTTGAATCTTATGATCTTAACCATTCTGCGATGTTTGACAAGGACTTTATATTGGTAATCCATAAAATTAAAACAAACCTGTCGGATGACAAGTTTGCATCATTACACGCAAAATACCATCTAAAGTATTTTCGTCCAATCCCAAATCAATATGCAGCAAGGAATTCAAACTAAATTAATTTCGCATAAATCGATAATAGAGACCTGAGTGTGGAGTCTCTAACCTTCTTCGACGGCGCCGTGATTCCGACGTTTCCAAGGAGTTCTTGATGCAGGGAATCGTCGGTGGTGATAGAATCAGGTGAACAAGTGAGGGCTCAAGCGATGGGTCGGTAACTAGGATGAGGATGCAATCAATGAAATCTTTCCGTATGAAGCAGTGGAGATGTCTAGCCGGCGAAGGCTGTGAGGGATACCATCGTACTGCAGCTGCAGTGTATTATCGCTCCTTCTCGCCGATTACCGAACCCGGTGATCGTGAACGCCGACTTACTCTCCCCCAGGCGCTTTACCGAAAGAGATCGCTCAAGGCGCCTTTCAAATCTGCCCAACATTTTTTTTTGGGGGTCGATTTTTCATTGGGAAAATAATAGAAAAATACCTTTTGAAATTTAAAAAGATAAATAGATCATGTAAATAAGTAAAAAGACTAAATAGACATAAGGTAGGAATATGGGATTTACAAAATTTGGCGAAAAGACTAAACTGCCATTGAAGTAAAATGAAAAGCATCAACAGGTTTTGTAGAGTGATCGAAAACTTTCAAATTGAATTTGACCATTTTCATAATATGTTTTGCAATTTGTTATTAGCTATTTACAAACTAAACGAAACTCAGGAAATTGAGTTGAACAAAATTTGTTATAAAAATTTTGTGAAATTAAAACAATAAACTAACGGAAACAAAAAAGTGTAAGTTAGAGAGATTTCACCGTAGAAAAGAAGACACAGGATTTGTACTAGTTCGGTCTCAACCACTTGACCTACGTCTAGTCATCAGAACACCTCTGAGTATTCCACTATGTTTCAAGATTGATCGGGCTCTTGGCGCCTCAGTACAGTAATTGATACTTTCAATCACTCCCCCTTACTTCCTGTAAGGTTATAAACCCACTCAAGAGTCCACACTCTTAAGTATCACACAAGACGTGATTAATGATGAAAATGTAAACTCTCTTATAGAGTGAATAAATGATAATCACTGAAGCTCAGCGTTATGAAAGAACAGAGTATTGAATGCAACAGTAAATAATCAACAGAGGATAGCTCATGTATTCAATCTGTTCATTTAATGCTTCTTCGCGCCTTTTATAGTTGAGGTAGTTTAGTAATCGTTAGACGGAAGAACTTCTAGCCGTTAAGAGTCCGATTGCGTGTTTTCCCAGTTGCAACAGTTTCCGCCATTAATGCTTGAAACAACCTTCATAAATAAACAGATAAACTTATTTTTTTATATAGTAACTTTAAGAAATAACTTTTTATAACCAAACCATGCTAAACACAAACTCAAATTATATCACAATCATCTACACTAACTAATTATATATTATTGTTATCTGTGATAGAAAAGAGCAGCACCCAATCATACATCCTATCACGGATAAAAGAACTTTTCTTAACTCATTTAAATACAAACTATATAAGAAAGGATCAATCTTATCTAATATGGTTATAAAACAACATATAATATAGCTCATAAATCAAAATATTAAAAATTAAATCTTAATTCATACTTTATAATAAATTCATAAATAAATCACATGCGAATATGCGATCCTATGCCTCTGGCCACCTATCAGCACACATATCAAAATAGTACACTCAAAGGACATAAAAAATAATAATGCATGAATCAATTAAAACTAATTTATCCTAAGGTGGCAATATACAGGATACAACATAGCTCATAAACCGAGGAGACGCTACAAGTTGCTAATGTAGCTTTACTCCTCCTGAGCCTTCCATGACGTCCTTCCTTTAAAGCTTTCACCTGAAAAATGTTAAACAATAGGGATGAGACAACGTCTCAGTAACTAAATCCCTACCTATCACACACACTAGTATGGGTTAGCGAGGTATCAGGTGGAATACACAGAGTTAATAATAGTCAATAGACACTTATCTAACAGTTGAACTCACAATAACCATATAGGTCAAATATATTTGTCAATCTCAAGCAACTGATGATTTCAAAAGAGATAACATACTTTTCATTTATTCAAAAGATATAAACATCAATGAAGATACCATGTCATATGAAACCCATGAACCCAAATTCATCCTTATATCCTCCTTATTTCCGCCCACTGGACCCATGGGCTAAGTTCTTTCCATTTGACTGGCTACTCTGACAAGCTCACCACTCGAGTGATATGGACCAGCCAAAGACCACAGAGCACTCGGTGGACTATGGGTCCCCCCTCGAAGAACTAGTGGGGTGTCGCAATCCCTCGAAGAACTAGTGGGACAACAATAATAGTGGCCAACCATAGAGCTCCGTATGGAGGCCGATACCACGTGGTAAGTAGATAAATCTCAATAACTCCAATCATCTCCTTCCCCCACCCAAACTAGATGCACATGGTTCAAAATAACACATTTATATACATAATCAACCGAATTCCAGAATAAGACCTCATAGTCATAATCATTAATTTCTAACAATACAAACGATTTCAATCATTTTCAAAACAATATCCCACCAGACAGTTCATACAAAACATAATATATGTATACGAAACTTGGTTATAAAATTACTCACCAACCTCATACCAATGCATGTAACAGATAGAAATTTAGTTACCTGGTCTCCTAGCTAACAATCAAGCACAAACGAGGCCCGTACTCGAAAATGCCACAATAGGGTTTATATCTACAATTGAAACTAAAATATTATTTCTACAGTATTAGAGTAAACTACTCACAAATTTCTAACCTTTAACTCTCTCTCTAATACATTCAGGTGTTACTCGAAATTCTAGCTCGAAAGGCTTTTTCTAAGGTTTGGGGTAAGAACATATATATGATGATTTAAACTCGATTCCAAAATTTTCATAACTTAAATATCCTTTAATTATTAGACTATATTATTAGAATCATCAAATTCATAATGTAAATAGACAAACTATAAATTTATAACTTATATTCCATCTTCGAAGGACTTAGACAAATAAACTTGGGAAAATTTCACTGTAGGACCGCAGAAGACAAATAATTTCAAAAAGCCCCCAAAACTTTCTGAAACCTCACTGCAGGACCAAGGGACCAATCTGATATTAATTTTTAGAGTGAGATTACAATAATACCCCTCCCTTTTTATTTTATTAAAAAATAAATATTTACCGGAGTTACTGTTCCGGCCACCGGAGGTCGGAGGTCCGGCCACCGGCGCTCAGGTGGCCGCCGTCGGGGTCCGGTCACCGGTGGCCGGAACAGTAACTCCGGCGGGACCTCCGGTGGCCGGAGTTTTTTTGTTTAAAACAAAGTGGCCAAGGGAGGGTTTGAACCCAGGACCCCTTGGCACACCAAAAGACTTGTAACCACCAAGCCAAGCAACCCATTCAATCATAAAATGCAAATAAAACTATATATAACAAAATAAACGCAACAGTCCAAATGTAAGTGAACAAGTGAAATTAGACGATTTACAAGTGGAATTCAGAAATTTGCAACAAAAATTAGGCAATTTACAAATAACATAATAGAAGTCATAACCCAAAATGCAAGTATTTAAGTGCAAATGAGCAAGTAAAATTTACAATAAAATTTTATGGATTTACAACCCAAATTTGGCAAACACAAGAGAATTCACAACCCAAAATGTAAGTGTTTGAGTGTAAGTGAACAAGTGAAATTAGACGATTTAAAAGTAGAATTCAGTAATTTACAACAAAAATTAGGCAATTTACAAATAACATAATGGAACTCACAATCCCAAATACAAGTGTTTAAGTGTAAATGAGCAAATAAAATTTGAAGATTTACAACAAAAGTTTATAGATTTGCAAGTGAAATTCGACAATTTCACTTGCTCATTTGCACTTAAACACTTGCATTTGGGGTTATGACTTCTATTATGTTATTTGTAAATTGCCTAATTTTTGTTGTAAATTGCTGAATTCTACTTGTAAATCGTCTAATTTCACTTGTTCACTTACACTCAAACACTTACATTTTGGGTTGTGAATTCTCTTGTGTTAGCCAAATTTGGATTGTAAATCCATAAAATTTTATTGTAAATCTTTAAATTTCACTTGCTCATTTGCACTTAAACACTTGCATTTGGGGTTATGACTTCTATTATGTTATTTGTAAATTGTCTAATTTTTGTTGTAAATTGCTGAATTCCACTTGTAAATCGTCTAATTTCACTTGTTCACTTACACTCAAACACTTACATTTTGGGT